CGATTAAAAGTGCCTGGGCTCTTGGACTACTTGGCTTCTTCAGGTTTTCCAGCCCCTAATAAAATTCCCTGGCCTTTTTCCAGGTTTCCCAGCTCAGTAGATACCCTGTAAACTCACGGCTTCACTCTCTCTTTTCCCCGGAGGCAAGTGAGTAAGTTATATGCAACACAACATGTGAAAATAGCTGTAAAATTGAGATCCATTCCAACAAATACATTAACAACAGTCACAAAACATTCATAATAAATAGCAGTTACTGTACCAGGAAAATAGCCACAAAACACTGATGACAAACACCAATTCATGACTCTAATGACATAAATAGCTAATAGCAGTCATGCGTCGCTTTACGTCCGTCCGATCACATATACAGTACAGTACGTCCATGGCCCATAAACATAATAACAAAATAATGGGGATAAAAAAAAAGACCCGTTCAGACAATGGGACGCAAGTGACCTTAGAGCGGGCCGCATGCATCACGTGTTCTTAAACAAAATAGATTGTGCTGTATGATGATAGAGTACAGTAACTATAAATATCCATAATATGTTTTGATAGATAAAAGAAATAACTATGTTACTGGTTTATGTTTTTGGCTATTGTAGTGTACAGTACAGTACAGTACTTTTAATCTGATTTCCTTACTTACAAAATAAAAAGTTTACAAATTGTATAACAGTGTACTGGTTTGCTTATTTTGCCTCGTTAGCAATGTAGACGTTATGTTATTTTATTAGCCTTCTTAACCTCCGGGTTTCATTAGTTGTGTACGTTATCTAGTGAATTTAGTCAATGTTGTACAGTACAAATACACTGCAATATTCCACATACATGTAAATATAAATACTGTACAAAGTTCACAATGTGACGTTCGGACAACGTCCAAGTCACGTTCCAAGAACGTATCTAGGACGTTAAGCGACGCACGACTGTACTTGGAAACTAGCCGTAAAACATTAATATTTAATAAATAATAATAATAAATGTTGTAGACCAATAATAATCAAAAAAATAATAATAATGAATATCAAATGGCCATAAACAACCTAGAATGATGAAACACCGATAATATCCCACAGAATCATGGTTAAAGACGCCACCACTAACACCACTGAATACCACAGAGCCAATCTAACCTTCAGGCATGATGACGGTAACACCAACATTATCCCCTATATTGGTCGACGGCGGCCCCTCTAGGGTACGGGGGGACACTGATGCTTTAGGGTGGGTTGAGGCCTCGGGGTGGGTCAGGGCTTCGGGGTGGGTCAAGGCCTTGAGGTAGGTCAGGGCTTCGGGGTGGGGCAGCTGGTTAGAGGTAGTGGTTGCATTTCCTGACTTGAGAAATAATGGTAATGGTTTAATTCTTTGAGTATGATGACTTAACCCCTTGAGTATGATGACTTAACCCCTTGAGTATGCCAACTTAACCCCTTGAGTATGCCAACTTAACCCTTTAAATATACTGAGTTAACACCTTCAATTAACCCCCTAAGTAAGCTGAGTTAACCCCTCACACACAGGTATTTTCATTAACTGCAATTTATATGGAATCAATCTACCAATACCTATACACACAATGCTCTACCTGTGGGGTGACGAAGAGAGGTGCAAGAGACAGACCGTGGTGACTGTCAGCATGGGAGGTGGTGCGTCCTGGCAGGTGGGAGGAGAGGGTGACGTTCTCAGGCCCCGATGCTTCCATTAACCCCTCGGCATAATAGGTCGTCTTGCGTCTACGCCTTCGTCCGTGACCCGATGGCTGGAATAGGTCGAGGCAGAATTCCTGTGGGAAAAAACACGAATTTAGTCTTTTATTTACGACACAAATTTAGTCTTTTATTTACAACACACAAATTTAGTCTTTTATTTACAACACACGAATTTAGTCTTTAATTTATGACACGAATTTAGTTTTTTATTTACAACACAAATTTAATCCATCGACCGCGTATGAACGAACATCTAAATACGGACAATAACGAGACTTACCGGCAGGCAGTCATGGGCGTCTATACAAGCCTTTATGGTAGCATGGATCCACAGCTGAGACGACCCGGCCATTTTGGAGTCTAGCATAAAGGCCTCGAAGTCGAGTCTCACCTCACCCGTCTGGTCCTCGACTCGGTGAGGCTGCTGGGGTACGATCGAGGAGAAGTCTGGTAGTCGACACCTGTAGGGTACAGGTGTAGGTTAGGTGTGGTACAGGTGTGTAGGTTAGGTGCAGGACTAAGAAGACTGGAAGCCATCTACATACTCATTCAACCTAATCTAACCTAAATATAACCTAACCAAACCTAAATTAACACGATTCTAACCTAATCTAATCCAACCTAACCAAAACTAAATTAACATGATTCTAACCTAACTAAACCTACCCTATCCAAACCTAAAATAATCGATTGTAACCTAACCATTTAATTGGGACACCACTAGACAGAATCAAAGTCAATCAGTTCACAAGACTAAGTGCTTCATCAGAGACACTCGCAAGACTAAGTGCTTCATCAGAGACACTCACAAGACTAAGTACATCATCATTAGACACTCACAAGACATCATCAGAGACACTCACCCATCCTTGACAAGTGCCACATAGCCAGAAGCATAGGGTGATACAGGGTCACTTGAGACTGTTACTTCCATCAGCTTAACATACTTCCATCCTGGGGACAAGAACACAATGGTTAGGTTAGGTTCAGCTAGGTTAGGTCGGGTTAGATTAGGTTAGAGTAAAAAGAAATAAAAAATAATAAGACTATATTAATGCACACCGCAAAGATGCCGGGAAAGCATCTTTATAATGTGAGACAGATTGTATGAGTATGGAAACACAGAAGAAGGCAGAGCATTCAACAGTGTGAGGAAAGAAGGATGTACTATAATGGGTTATTATAGTGTGACCCACACTGTGGGCAAGACACCAGCCCACGGTGCCGCCCGTTAAAGTACCTGTAAAAGAGAGAGAGTGAAGCAACATTGTGGTGAAGAGAAGAGAGATTATCAACTAAAGGAGGAGAGTTAATAAGGTTAGCAATTTGATTAGTTTAAGTTAGGTTAGGTTAGATTAGGTGAGGTTCAGCTAGGTTGAATCCTGTAACAACACAACGTACTCGAATGGGTGTTAATCCTCGCTCGTAGCTGCAGTTTAGAGCCAATGGGGACAGCCTGGTCGACGGGGGTGTGACTGTGTGAGGCAGAGCGGGCAGTCACCTCCCTAAACAGCGCCACTTCATACTCCAGTCTACCAGGTGTCTCCTCCACCACCCCTGACACTCTGCCAGTCGACGGTCTAAAGGAGGAATGATTCGTGACTGGTTTATAGTTCTTAAAAACAGTTAAAATATTTACAAAAAGTTTTAAATATTTACAGAAAGTTTTCAATTGTGGTTAAAGTTCTAAAAAATGGCTTTATAAACTAAGTACAGTGGGGGTATGCTATAACGAACGGATCCTACTACGAATATTCCTATAACGAACGGTTTTACCTATAAAATTGAGAATGCTATAACGAACGAAACTCCTACAACGAATATTATTTAATTTAATTTTTTTTTTTCTAATTTATTGTTTTTTTATTACAAATATTAATGATATTCTTTAATAGAATAATTATGTTCACTTATTTACAAAACACTATATAAATCTGTAATCTGAGTTAAATATGTACAAAACACTATATATCTTTACAAAAACACTATATAAATCTGTAATCTGAGTTAAATATGTACAAAACACTATATATCTTTACAAAAACACTATATAAATCTGTAATCTGAGTTAAATATGGACAAAACACTATATATCTTTACAAAAACACTATATAAATCTGTAATCTGAGTTAAATATGGACAAAACACTATTGTATATATCTGTACAAAAACACTATATAAATCTGTAATCTGAGTTAAATCTAGACAAAAAACACTGAAAATCTGTAATCCGAGTTAATCTGAACTATTCCAAACCAAGAGACACCAAACCCCAACTTACAGCGAGCCAGCAAAGCCAGCGGCCCTGTTTTCAATGACCGTGGGGGAGACTGGCTTACACATTATGATAACTTCTTGATCTGTGGCCAACACTACTCCTTCCAGCTGAGGGAACCAAACACGCAACGTAACATACCCCTGTAGAGATGAGGTTAGATTAGGTTGGGTTAGGTTAGTATCTGACCTAACCTGATTTGAGGTAATGTAATCTAATCTAACCACACACATTATGTCATGTACCCCTTGTCTAGGTTAGGATAGTGGTGGACCTGACCTGACCTGACTTGATCTAACCTATCTTAGTCTAGTCTATCTAAACCTAACCTAATTCATGTTAAACACACATATACACAGTCAAAACATCTGTTAACATCTAAGTAAAATACACCTACACATATATGTATACTGTATGTATGGTACCATGTATACTTAAACTGTATTATGTATACAGTATATGTATAGTTATGGATCAAGTTAATACCTGTTGGCCTTTTAAATGAACAGTCTCAGATAAGAGTTCAGTACCCTGCTTACCATGACAACTGGGTCTCGGTGTTTGAGAGGCTGCCAAACATACAAACCAAACACGATAAACAAACAGAGTGGAAGGTGTTTGTTTCCCCCCACTAGAGTTCAACAGCCGGGCACGTTACGATAATAGTTCTGTGGTTAAATTTGTTAAATATTTCACGAGGGTAAATTGAGTTATTTGATGATTAGACTATTTAGTTTATTTCACCTTAAGATTAATCACTCTGATGTTAACCTAACCTAAGCTTAACTTAATCTAGTCTATTGGTAACCTAATATAATCTAATATACGTGTGTGTGTGTGTGTAAGTGCATGTGTTTAAGTGCATGTGTGTGTGTGTGTGTGTGCGTTTAAGTGCATGTGTGTGTGTGTGCGCATTTAAGTGCATGTGTGTGTGTGTGTGTGTGTGTGTGTGTGTGTGTGTGTGTGTGTGTGTGTGTGAGGTACAGACATACTCACATCTTTCCTCACAACACCACACATTGTCAGATCCGTCACCAACAAGTTATACACGAGGCCAGACGTGTCCCGCATGTCCTGTCGTATCTGGCACTTCCCGTCACTGTCCACGCGTAGCCAGGGACATACAGTACATTGTAGGTAGTCAGACATGTCCACACATAGCCAGGGAGACATAGATCAACCACGCATGTTCAAACGTATTCAGGGACATCCAAGTCGACCATACATGTCCAAAACAACAGAGGAAAAAAACATGGGGAAAAAAAAATTAGTTAACACAAACTTAACATAAATAACATATTAAGCAAAAAAATTCCCTTTGTTATTTTTACTATGTTATTTATAGATGGAAGTGGTTTATATATTAATAAGATATAAGCACAAAAATAACTCATTATATTGGGGGATTATGTGAAGATTAGTTACCCCACCAATTGGTTTATTTCACCTGATGGTTAAATTAGGTTAGGTTGGGGTTTGGTTAGATTTCGTTAAGGTCAGATTAGCATTAAGTTAGGTTCAAGTTATAGATCAAATTTAATTAGGTTAAATAAGCTAGAGGTTAATTTTTATGTGATTAAGACCCTACTAGAACTAGGATCTACTAGGAGGAAGGGGGTCTAAGACTCGACCTTTGACCCACCTGAACGGATCGGCCCGCTTGTCATCCGCAAAGAGTGGATGACCTTTAAATCCAACTGGCTTCTTTAGTCTGGCAGATAATCTCTGTAAGTTGCTTCCACCATTACTACCACCATCACCAGCTGTTGTGTGTGCATCACCACCAAAGTCACAGCTGATTTCTGCCACTGTTAAGGAGAAATGGTGAGAATGTGGATCAGGTGGTTCTCTCGCTCTCTCTCTCTCTCTGTCTTCAATCTCTCTCTCGCAGATGTAATGGCATAGTAAATGTAATTAATACTCCAAATATAATCATTAAATATTAGTATTACTTACTTATATACACACACACACACACACACACACACACACACACACACACACCTTGATAGTCCTGTCCGCTAGTCAGCACCATCTGTGGGGAGAAACATGAACTTAGGTTAGGTTATGGTCAGGTCAGCTCAGGTTAAGTTAGGTTAGGTAATGTCAGGTCGAGTTAAGTTAGGTTCGGTTTGTAAGTTACTTGTATGAATAAGTCACAAGTCTGTTAAGTAACTTTATTACTTATAAGGAGCAGTAACTGATTCTTCAACTTATTAACATTTATAAAATTCCATATTTAATACTTAACAACAGAAATTATTCACACACACTTATTGCCAATGACCTATTGTACTTAAATCACACTTATGTTAACTAAGCACACTTATTTACTTAATAATACTTTATCCTCTGACCAAAACACTTGAGCCACACTTACCCTCACACTTATAACCAGACACTACCACACACTTGTTGGAAAACACTTAAAACATACTTATATACTTAACACCACCCAACACACTTAAAACACACACTTACCATCACACTTAGAAGCACAAACACCACACACTTGGTCATCCTTCTCTTCAAGACACTTACGACGGCGTTAAACTACTTATAACAATCCTCTTAAGTGCCTCAAGGACCACAATTGTTTGGTGAAATTCCTGTTGGTAGTAAATGAAAATGATAATGGTGATCTGGTGTGTGGGGGGTGGCAGTGAATGGGTGGGTGATGGTGGTGAATGGGTGGGTGATGGTAGTGAATGGGGGGGTGGGTGGCAGTAACCTAAAGGGCGTTTCCTTTAACACAAACTAACCACATTACGTCATGGGTGGGTGGGCGGGCGCGACTCACTCAAGCACACACGGTAAGGCAGTAGGCGTTACCTACAAGGGGCGGATATTGCTCTATATACCACAAGACATCCCAACACTAACCTAGATACTGCAATGTGACTTCCAATGATTAATGTTGCAAGGCAGAATCCATTGAACTTAATATTGCAAGTTGTTATAGACTGAACTTAATGTTGCAAAGGTACCATTACATTGAGCTAGATATTGCAAAGGTACCATTACATTGGGCTACATGTTGCAAAGATAGCATTACATTGAGCTAGATATTACAAAGGTACCAATACAATGAACTATACTGTATATTGCAAAGGTACCATTACATTGAACTAGATATTGCAAAGGTACCATTACATTGAACTAGACATTGCAAAGATACCATTACATTGAACTAGATATTGCAAAGATAGCATTACATTGAACTAGATATTGCAAAGATACCATTACATTGAACTAGATATTGCAAAGATAGCATAACACTGAACTAGATATTGCAAAGATAGCATTACATTGAACTAGATATTGCAAAGATACCATTACATTGAACTAGATATTGCAAAGATACCATTACATTGAACTAGATATTGCAAAGGTACCATTACATTGAACTAGATATTGCAAAGATACCATTACATTGAACTAGATATTGTAAAGGTACCATTACATTGAACTAGACATTGCAAAGGTACCATTACATTGAACTAGATATTGCAAAAGATACCATTACATTGAACTAGATATTGTAAAGGTACCATTACATTGAACTAGATATTGCAAAGATACCATTACATTGAATCTAGACATTGCAAAGTTATTACATTGAACTAGATATTTAAAGATACCATTACATTGAACTAGATATTTCAAAGGTAATATTTCAATCATTTCAACCCAAATATTACAGTTTTACCATTACAAAATTACTGTAGCCATTTCAGATTTATTTGAGTTTACTGAGTCACTGATAAATTGCATACAAGATCAATTTTATGCAGTTTTTTCACTATATAGAATATCTGTCTGTCTATCTGCAAGAAATATGAAAAACGGTACAAATTGTTCACTATGAATAATGTAATAATAATATACTGTAATAATGATGATGATGATTATGATGAAACACTTTTTCTCAATAAACTTTCCAATTATTTGTTACATTAAAGTTAAAAACAGACACACACACACAGTACCACACACCACCACTGTCTACTGAACACTGAGTTAACACCAAACTCTAGTCACACTTTATGACTCTCTCTCTCTCTCTGTCTCTCTCTCACACTCTCTCTCAATCTCTCTCAATCTCTTTCTCTCTCTCTCTCTCTCTCTCACCTGGGTTGTGTAGATATGCCACCAGTCAGTTCTAATAGACCCCAGTTCTAATAGACCCCAGTTCTATAGGCCCTAGTTCTAATGAGACCAGTCCTAATAGACCCCAGTTCTAATAAGCCCCAGTCCTAATGGACCCCAGTCCCACAGACCCCAGTTCATAGACCCCAGTTCAGACCCCAGTTCCAATAGACCCCAGTTCTAATAGACCCCAGTCCTAATAGAACTCAGTTCTAATAGACCCCAGTTCTAGACCTCAGTCCCATAGACCCCAGTTCTAATAGACCCTAGTTCTAATAGACCCCAGTTCTAATAGGGCCCTAGTTCTAATAGACCCCAGTCCTAATAGACCCCAGTTCTAATAAGCCTCAGTCCTAATGACCCCAGTCCTAATAGACCCTGTTCTAATAGACCCCAGTTCTAATAGACCCCATCCCATTAGGTCCGTCACAGACCCTAGTTCTAATAGACCCCAGTTCTAATAGACCCCAGTTCTAATAGACCCCCAGTTCTAGACCCCAGTTCTAATAGACCCCAGTTCATAGATCCTGGTTCTAATAGACCCCAGTTCTAATAGACCCCAGTTCTAATAGACCCCAGTCCTAATAGGCCC